GTGTACCTCTGGTGCAAATTACTGACCTCTGTCATCATTTTAGGTGGGGGAACTTGCACAATCGGTGGCTGACTAAATACTTTTTTGCCCCACTGTAGGTATGAAAATGATCCAACAGTACATGTAAGCACGGGTAAAATCCTGATTTTGTTCCAGTTGTGGCTGCTGTCAAAAATCAAGCCTCGTCTCGGTTGCTGCAGCTTGATTTGTATCAGTTAGCCGGGCCTCCATTGCTCAGTCACAGTAAGAGTGCAAGTTTAGCAGATTGTTTACGAACATTTTAAAATCCTTTTAGTTTTAAGTCTCGCAGGCCAGAGCGTTTCATCTTTTGCGCTCTGCGCTGAGACCGTGCAGCGCTTCAGCCCTGTTGTTGTGCTTTAAGTTTTATGGTGTGAACGTTTCTGTCCGCACTTTCACATCGTCCATCATAACTTTGGGATGCATCAGCTCATTGCTGTGAGAAATGGACCTCGGTGCTCTGATGTGCGTGGTCTAACCTCCCACGCCTGAAAATCATGTCACAACAGCGTGCATTTGTCTCCGCTGCAAATTAACATCAGCGAAATCACTTTAGCGCCCGCTGGAAAGCAGGTGACTAGCTCAGATGGTGATGAACACCTTCACATTAATCAGCTGTAAGACTAGCTCGGATTTAATTGGTCACTTCCTCCAGAAAGCTCATCAGAGTCAGTCAGACCACACAGAACCGAGCTGTCACCTTAATTAGCTTTGTGTTTTCAAGTGGAACTTGAAAAATGTGGACTTCTTCCTTGTGTCAGGGAAACGAGGTGCAGTAGAGGTAAATATAATAGAGACAATATGGCGTTGAACTTGTTCATTTGAAAGCCTGGACCAGAAGATTTGGATCAGGTGCAAACAGGTGTTTCAGAGGAGCTGCGGTAAAACTGTCAGTTTTGCTCCTGAAGATGGTTAACGGTGGAAAATGAGGGTAGATAAATCTCCCCAGGCTGCATACGCCCTGTAATTTTTAATTAACAGAAATCTAATTACAATATTAATAGCATTTTGATTGTGCTGTGAAGTGCACTCGTATTACTGAGTTGACACCACTCTCTCAGGCGGCACCTGATGCTTGCACGGTGATGGTGACTGGAAACAACAGCATGTTGACTTTTGACTCTTCTGTCACGGATGTAAATAAATCCTTTACAGCACAAAGGACTCCCTGAAGCAAAATGTCAAGTGGAAACAGCCCCGATTAAATCACCCTGAGAGCAGATGTTGGGAATTTGTTTGCACTGGATTTGTTCTTTCTGCACACCACAAGGTGGTGTTTGCAGGTGGTGCTGTGTCTATTCAGTCGTGGTGCACATCTCTGCTCTTGAATGCAATAAAAAATAATAAAGTTCCTCTTCTGCTTTTTGGCATCAGATTTTCTCGTGTTTGAGTTTGGCACCAAACTGGATTTTATTTCATTTCATTATTTAGTGCGCTTTGTTGTTTGTGCCAAAATATTCTCCTTTAGAAACATTAACCCTGCAGACAGAAAGTACAGTTTCCCAGTGTGAATGTTTAAATGATGAATAATTAATAAGTAAATAATTCCTGAGATTTCCATGCAGAGGTCTCAAATATAATGTGATGACCTCGTCATAATAATCAATATATGGAAAACAGGAGTCAGAGCTTGTTCAGTATTCAGTGAAAGTTTGGAAAGCTGAAAATATTCTCACCGAATCCTGCAGTCGAAATAATTCAGCCGTATGAAAACATACTTTTAAACTTACAGGAACAAAACATTTTGATATTTATTGACATCATGTTCAGTGACTCAGACACACAGGAGAGCTCATTAGCATGATATCAGGTGGTGTGTCCTTGTGCATTTTAATGGCTGTGACGTGGCGCGCATGAATATGTATGTGTGTTTGCATCAGTGCTGCCCTCTCAAAGGGCACGGAGTCGGGTCTCGAGTGGACGGGAGCCACTCACGTTTGTCTGAATCAGATCCGTGTCAGCTCAGCGTGAGACCTCCTGCTCTTTGTTAGAGACGACACAAACACTCATTTTATTTCCTCTGCCAGCTCATCTCATCCTCTGACCCGACAACAGCAGAGAGCCGTGCTTACATCTGGGAGGAAGGCTTATTTATTAAAAATAAATGGATAATGGCAGTAGTAATAGTTTTAATAGT